GAAAGCCAACTGGCCTGGCGTGGCCACTTCACTCCTGCCCATGTTCTAGAGTTGGAACAATCGGGTATGGTGATTGGAGGCGGTAACAATGCGAGTATGGAACACATCAATATGGCGAACTTCCTCATGCGAACCAGCTGTCGTAATTCGGGTGACGAGACACCAAATGACTCTAGCAACCTTTTGTATGCGCGCACCCCATTGCTCGGTAGGTGTGATTTCGACGTACTGCCTCTATCTGGTGACTCAGATTAGTGAGATCGCTTAATTTCTTACTCATTACGGTGTCACCTTCACAATATTATAACGCAATATGAAACTAAGCTGTAAGGAAAAAAGTCCGCACTATAAATCGACGCAAATTATTCGCAAATGTTAAGAATCATAATTTTCTGAGCATGGCGTTGATATGGCCTAGTTTTCGCAACTTGCTCGCATAGACAGCGGGACTTTGTGGAAACTACTTAGGCTTCTATCTTTTACTATATTTGTTGAGCTTACTTCCATTTCGAGTGAAAGTGTCTGGTGAAGAGATTCGAAAGTCGATTCCACTAGAAGACGACGACGGATTCCTCTTGACCAGCAGTCGATTGGCTTTACTGGAAGATTCATGCTGACGCTGTTTCCGAGGTACTCTCCTTCGATTCCGGTTAAAAGGTGCTAAGCTTTCGTCCGTCATATGACGAACACTATCAGAGCAATGTATCATCGTCACAACCAAATTCAAGCTAACAAGTCAAGAAAACTCAACGGCAAATCCCTAAAAAGCTGTATATATACTCTATATCTGGCCTCTTTTATCAGGCATAAAGTGATTTGTAGAAGTGGGTTGACCTTGGTGTAACAACTTGGCCTTGTTGTCAGAGTGACTTAGTAGAATGCGCCTTTTCCGAAGTCGTCTGCCATAGTAGTTGTCATGATTCCCAGCATCAGACAGTAGACTTGATACATTCTCAAACGTTTCGCCGGCATCGTAGTCAGCATCATCAGTGAACTTTGCCATTCGCCGCACCAAGCTACGAACTCGTCAAAAGAGACAAGTGAAGTGAATCCTTCGACAAACGTTCTGCCGAAAACGGTTACACAATCACTCCTCTTTCTGTCCTGGCATATCTAACTCGTCGAGAGGAATGTAAACAAGTCAGAAGTTCTGATAGGGCGGCAGTGGGATAAGAGGGTAAAGAGTAGATAGATGGGCCAGGACAGAAAGAGAAATGATAGCGTAACCGTTTTCGGCACCGTTTGTCAAGGGATTGACTTCACTTGTCTCTTTTGACGAGTTCGTAGCTTGGTGCGGATAATGACAAAACTCACTGATGATGCCGACTAAGATGCCGTCAAAACGTTTGAGAATGTACCAAGTCCACTGTCTGAGGCTTGGAATCATGGCAACTACTATGGCAGACGACTTTGGACTAGGTGTGCTCTACTAAGTCACCCTGACAACAAGACCAAGTTGCGACAATGAGGTCAACCCACTTCTATAAATCGAAAGGAGACTGCGACCATACCAGAGGCCACAACATCTTTGTCTTCATATTTTCAATAAAGTGATTTGGTTAGTTACGGTCATATGTAAACTTCGAAGCCTTTGTGTGTGTCTGTCTCTGTATGTGTATGTGGCTGTTTTTGTTCGCCTATGCACGAAATCCGCAGTGATGGCTCAAAGTAATGAGGACAACAAAAGTAACGTCTGTTTTCTGCCATCAAGGTTTGATGACCACTATCTCTCCCTTTCTACATACATATTATAACCATTACTCCGATTGTGCAAGGTCGGACACACGTTTGGTTATGTTGATGAGCCTTTTTTTTGTTTTTGGTCTCAATGCGAGAGAGAATTGACTATGATTAGAACAAAGAC